AATTGCTGACTTGCGTGAAGCTGGAAAGGGTTACAAAAGTACCTCCAAAAGCCTTGATGTTCATGTGTTCACGGTAAAGACAGAGTGTCTACAAATGGAGAAAGTTTAGCACTGTTGCTACTCTCCCTAGGCGTGGTCGTCCTGTAAAAATGACTGCAAGAGCACAGCGCAGAATGCTGCATGAGGTAAAGAAGAATCCCAGAGTGTCAGCTAAAGACCTACAGAAATCTCTGGCACATGCTAACATTTTTGTTGTCCCACATCTACAATAAGGAAAACATTAAACAAGAATGGAGTACATGGGAGGACACCACAGAGGAAGCCATTGCTGTCCAAAAAGAATATTGCAGCACGTTTGAAGTTTGCAAAAGAGCCACCTGGATGTTCCACAGAACTACTGGCAAAAATATACTGTGGACAGATGAAACCAAGATTGAGTTGTTTGGGAAGAACACACAACACTATGTGTGGAGAAAAAAAGACACAGCACACCAACATCAAAACCTCATCCCCACTGTAAAACATGGCGGAGGGAGCATCATGGTTTGGGGCTGCTTTGCTGCCTCAGGGCCTGGACGGATTGTTTGTCATGATGGGAAAATGAATTCTAGAGTTTATCAAGACATTTTGCAGGAAAACGTACGACCATCTGTCCGCCAACTGAAGCTCCGCAGAGGATGGTTGATGCAACAGGACAATGACCCAAAGCATAACAAGTAATTCAACAAAACAATAGCTGCAACAGCACAGAATACGCCTTCTAGAGTGGCCCAGTCAGAGTCCTGACCTCAACCCGATTGAAATGCTGTGGCATGACCTTAAGAGAGTGATTTACACCAGACATCCCAAGAATATTGCTACACTGAAACAGTTTTGTGAAGAGGAGTGGTCCAAAATTACTCCAGATCGTTGTGCAGGTCTGATCTGCAACCACAGGAAACGTTTGGTTGAGGTTATTGCTGCCAAAGAAGGGTCAACCAGTTATTAAGTCCAAAGGTTCACATAATTTTTCCTCCCTGCACTGTGAATGTTTACATGTTATGTGCACTTAAACCATGGCAACATCTAATGTTTGTGTAGTATTATGTTCAGCAGACTGTGTTCTTCTATTGTTGTGACTTAGATGACGTTCAGAGCACATTTTATGCCCAATTCATGCAAAACTCCACGTAATCCCAAGGGGTTCACATACTTTTTTCTTGCAACTGTATATGTAGTTACTTATTTAGTTTACATTGGCATTAATTTTATCTAGGGTAGATTGAGACTTGTAGTCCCTTTTACACACATATATATGGATCTGTGGACTCCAGGTTAATGGCCGCCGAGTTTAAAGAATAAATCACATTCTGTTTGTATTAATAGGAATTAATCCCTTAGCAGTTAGGTCCATGGACAATAACATCTATATTTATTTTCGTATATATGTGGTAAGGTTAGTGGGCAAAAATTATATATTATTCCTCTATACCTGCAGAGGAATATGAGCCCTGTGTGTCCTCGAGCATAGACTCCAACAAAATGGCCACCGGGAGTCCGCCTCTTTTCAATTTGAGTGACAGATGGTTTTCGTATAAATGACAGCACCAATCACGTTACCCTGATGAAGTCACGTGTTAGTGTGAAGTAAACGCGTGGGACGTGGTGACGTAATTTTCCTCCGGCGTGCACGCCATCTTGGGACTCCAATAGACATCAATGTACAGTACACCCACAGCATGTGGTTACACACAGAGTTTATGTAAAGCCAGTTACATGTGAGTGGGACTTGTATTACCTTAGTATTTAATAATAAAACCTTATTACACTATTTCTTTCTTTCTCTGGCTGTATGAGGATTGGCTATTTCCCAGATATCTCTGCGGAGGCTGTTGCTGTGCCTTTTTCCACCAGTGAAGGGGATTGACTCTGCGTTGGACCTTGCGCCTGTAGGAAGGGGTCCAGGTCCCAGAACGGTGCGGTACTATTTGAAAAAGCGCTTTGACCCTGTGGGGTTGCTTCATGGAGGTCAGGGGGCATTTCACTCAGTGCGGGATTCCCTATGTCTAACAGCTCATATATGTATATCCACTAAAGACTACAAAACACCTCCACCATTTAGGTGGTTTTTAGACTTTAAGTATATTTTTGATGAGATTCACTTTACAAATTAGATATCTTTTTATATGATTTTTGTTATTTTGTGTCACGGAATCACATGCATATCACTTATTTAAATTTTTATCCCTGCATTTGGGGTCACGTTAAGCAGTTTATTCTTCTTCCCTGTTCTTTATGTTTATAGGCTATGTGGCTTATAAATGCTTCACTATATACAAAGATTCTATTAGTGTCACTTAGCCACTAATTTTCACTTTATCCCCAATTAGGGGTCACTGCTATATGGTTTACATTTTTTTTTTTTTTTATTAGTCATTTATCTGTTGAATTTGGATGTTGTATTTACGATTATGTTGTGATAAACTAGCTTTGTGGTTTTTCACGATTAACCACTTTTTTCAAATTATTCCTCCTTTTCTTCACTTATGAGCACTATAAGTGTTTTTTCAGGTAGTTTTTCTTGGCAATTACCAGTTTGGCATGAAATATACCTGTAGGTATACTTTTTACTTCACTAGTCATTTGTGCAATTTAGCACAGTAGTGGTGGGATTTTATTTGATCACTTATTTGCCACTATTTAAGGATTGTCACTTATAAATCACCGATTTAGGGGTGTACTTAGGTTACTATATATTTTAGGGTTTCACCGTCATTTATGATTTTGCATATTCATGCGTATTCTAGTCAATATATCTTTTCATATATATTTTGATATTCATTAGTCACCTATATAAGGTGCATTTAGGTAACAACCTAGATTTAGTTCTTTGAAGGTTCCACGGTTATATATGATTTTCATGTGTATTCTATTCTATATTTATTTTGAGAGTTATATGCTCTTTCTGTGATATTTTTCTGCCTATTTGTCAAAGGATTAATTATTAGCGCAGCACCAAGTTACTATATTTCAATACTGTCCATTGTGGTATGTGGTAGGGTGTTAGCGGCTATATTTAGAAAATGACATTCTGAGCACGGGAGGATTATATAAATATATTTGTGTTAAGTAACCATCACCCTCCTGCAGTCAGTATGGAGATTTTTGTTTTTTTTAGAAAATCGAAACATTAATTTGGAAGATGTTTTTAACAAAACTGAGCCCACACAAACAAGCGATTTAGATACCTTGTTTAGAAAACTTGGACATCTTATGGATAAAAAAGTGGTCACATGGTAGGATATGGTTACTCATGAAAAATATCTTAAAGATAAATTAGTGCCAAGAAGACTAAGATGGGGTTTTATAGAGAGAGACAGAGTGGAAAGGAGTCCAGGAAGGGAAGGATGGAGAAGCCCCCAAAGAGGAGGTGATGTAGAGCAGGGTGGAGGACACAAAAGAAAAAAGAGAGTGATTGGTGAAGGAATTTTTAACCTTAGTGGTGCCTCCTTAACTAAAGAAGAAATTATGGCACTGGATAAGGGTTTAAAGTTGGCATGGAATATACCTGTAGGTAAACCTTTTACATCACTAGTCATTTGTGCAATTTAGCACAGTATTGGTGGGATTTTATTTTATCACTTATTTGGCACTATTTAAGGATTGTCACTTATAAATCACCAATTTAGGGTGTACTTAGATATATTTTGGGGGTTTCACCGTCATTTTATGATTTTGCATATACATGTGTATTCTATTCTATATATCTTTTCAGATATATTTTGATATTCATTAATCCCCTATTTAAGGCGCATTTAGGTAACACCCTAGATTTAGTACTTTGGGGGTTCCACGGTTATATATGCTTTTCATGTGTATTCTATTCTATATTTATTTTAAGATTTATATGCTCTTTCTGTGATATTGTTCTGCTTATTTGTCAAAGGATTAATTATTAGCACAGCACTAAGTTACTATACACAAATTTATACTATTCTCTCTATGTAGAAATCTGTTCACAACTCCTGAAGAAGCGATATTATCGCGAAACATGTCGAGTTGAGTTACTACAACCGTTAATACCATAGTTTCTGTTCTCAATCTCTTACCGAGATACGGTCCATTTTTATTGTGTAATATACCAACACACTATATGTATCTGTACTGAATATACAGTTCAATATGCTAAGGGAGTATATCCTCCGCAGCAGATTTTATTAATTATATGTATTGTTGTACGTCTATGTATGTTCAATAAAGCAATACTTCTTTTATTTACCAATATTGTAGTGCCTATAAAGTCCACCAAAAGGCTCTTCTTTTCTCCAAATATGCTCCCATCTTACTACACCCTATGATTACCCACACTGTTAATTTCTTATATGTTATCTATGCCACATCATGTAAGATAACTGAGGGCATCAAGCATTCCTAATTCATAATAGAATCCTTTTAAATTTCATTTACATATGTTTTTACATTTGATCATTTTTATATATGTTTAGCATTTTAGTATTAATGTATATATATTATAATAAGGTAGTTACCCACTAGAGGGCAATTACCGTATTTTTCACTCCATAAGACGCACTTTTTCCCCCCAAAAAAGGGGGGGAAATGTCAGTGCGTCTTATGGAGCGAATGTAAAGCGGCCGGTCCGGTATTTCTGCCGCCACCATGTCAGAATACCAGGCCGGCCGCTTAGCTCTTCTCTCCTGCAGGATCTTACCTGTTCCTCGCTCCAACGCTGCAGTCTTCCCAAGGCGGCTTCTGTGACAGCCGGGTGCCCACTGCGCATGCGCGAGAAGCGCCACGCTTTGTGAATGGTCCGGTGTCTTCTGGGACACATGGCAGGTCCCAGAAGGCTCCAGGCCATTTACAAAGTGCAGCGCTTCTCGCGCATGCGCAGTGGGCACCCAGCTGTCACAGAAGCCGCCGCGGGAAGAAGGAAGGACAACTCAGCGGAAGTGGGAGCGGGTACCTGTCAAATTCAGGTACCCGCTCCCCCTCCCTCCCCAAAGGTACGCAGTCTCTGGTTATCTCCTTTACTGTCTGCAGTCACTGGTCTTCTGTACTATGTCTGCAGTCTCTGGTCATTCCCTGTGCTGTGTCCGCAGTCTCTGGTCATTCCCTGTGCTGTGTCCGCAGTCTCTGGTCATTCCCTGTGCTGTGTCCGCAGTCTCTGGTCATTCCCTGTGCTGTGTCCGCAGTCTCTGGTCATTCCCTGTGCTGTGTCCGCAGTCTCTGGTCATTCCCTGTGCTGTGTCCGTAGTCTCTGGTCATTCCCTGTGCTGTGTCCGCAGTCTCTGGTCATCCCCTGTGCTGTGTCCGCAGTCTTTCTGCATTGGGCAGAAAAATACATGAAGACTAATTTTCAAACAGTCCTGTTCACTGGTGAGTGCTGTGCAACCCTGGATGGTCCAGATGGATGGAGTAGTGGATGGTTGGTGGACGGCCACCCTGTTCCAACAAGGCTGCGTCGTCAGCAAGGCGGTGGTGGAGTGATGTTTTGGGCCGGAATCATGGGAACAGAGCTGGTTGGCCCCTTTAGGGTCTCTGAAGGTGTAAAGATGACCTCTGCAAAGTATGTGGAGTTTATGACTGACCTCTTTCTTCCCTGGTACAGAAGGAAGAACTATGCTTTCCATAATAAAATCATCTTCATGCATGACAATGCACCATCTCATGCTGCAAAGAATACCTCTGCATCAATGGCTGCTATGGGGATAAAAGGAGCGAAAGTCATGGTGTGGTTTCCATCCTCCCCTGACCTCAATCCTATTGAGAACCTTTGGAGCATCTTCAAGCAAAAGATCTATGAGGCTGGGAGGCAGTTTACATCCAAACAGCAGCTCTGGGAGGCTATTCTGACATCTTAACACAAATTCAAGCAGAAACTGTCCAAAAACTCACAAGTTCAATGGATGCAAGACTTGTGAAGCTGCTATCAAATAAGGGGTCCTATGTTACAATGTAACATGACCTGTTAAAATGTTTAAAAAGTTAAAATGTTGTTAAAAATTTGATTGAAATAGCTTTTGCTTTCAGTAAATATGCTGCAAACACAACAAATGACAATTTTCAGTTCTTTACAATCTATAAAGTGTTTTGAAACTTACTGTGCGTAATAATTTGGAACAGTGCATTGTAAGTTTTTTATGTATAAAAAAAATACTGTTATCATTAGGAGGTTTGTTCAATAAAATTTGAATTGTACTCTTAATAGTTGATAACATGAGAATTATGCTGACTGTTATTTACATCAATTATTTAAGTAAATGAGAAAAATATAATTTGCACAATAATTTGGAACAGGGTGTATATCCTCCTTCCTCTTCTTTTTCACAGACTTTTTTTGCCTCCAACCACTCCATATCATCATTTGACAACCCGGACTGCAAAGCCCCCTCCCCCCTTTTATTCCACCATCTTCCACAAAATTATCCACCCCACAAACCCACGGGGGTCCCCCCAGCCTTCACTCCAGCAACCCCACCATCATCCAGTCCCTGGCACCTCACACCCTCCAATCCTCAGATGCCGGGAAGTGGTGCAACCATACACACTGGTCCAGCTCCCTCCACAGCCCCCACTACCTCTGGGAGACTGACACAGGAGGATCAGACACAACATTTACTGACACTGACTCAGGGGCACAACACACAAGGAGATGACACATTAGATCGGCCATCAGACACTGATACCACTGAGACAACAGGGACTGAGACATTGGAGACCCCTGGCACAGGCCCCTCTCCTCTGCCTCCTCCATGTCCAGGCAAAAAAAACTCTTCCACAAAAGCTGACTGGTTATGCATGGCCTCAGGGCACTGTCTTTATGCATGGCCAACCTTATCAAAAAGATTGCACCTCATGATATTGCAATCCTCAGCCAGATGTCCCAGGTCCTGACACAGAGAGCACTTCATCTCTGGACATGAGGAGGCAAAATGACCCCAAGAATCACACTTATTACAGAGCTTTGGCTGTCCAGGGTAGAACACAACAATCCTATCCTTCCCAGTGAAGGCTGAGAAGGGCAGATGCTAAACCACATTCCCACACACATACAGCCTCATCTGCACTGACCACCCACCAGTCCATATCCCCCTCTCATCCACAAGCTTCTTCAGAGGGGTCAGTAGCTCCCCAAATCTTCTCTGCCAGAAAACCGAGTAAGCAGAAGGGATTCATTCATTCCTTACTAGGATGGTGGCATTCTTAATAAGAGGTTGGCATGAGAAGTTTTGGGACAAGTCCCTTCTACTCCAGCAGACCCCTATACACATGCTTATACTTCTCTCATATCCAGATATCAAGAGACTCTGGGCTCACAAAGGACAGGCCATACTCAGAGCCCACTGGACTGATCAAAGCAAAGATGTGATCAGCCTTAAAACTCATTGCCAAAATTTTGTTCACATCCAACCTCCTGATAGGGGGAGCACGCCCACCCTCCCACCTGAGCTGCACCACATTCTGCTGCCTGAAAGATAGGGGTGCAGATGGCAACCCTGCAGCAGACCTCCCCCTGAGCCCCACATTCTGATGTGACCCCTCCTCCCAGCAAGAGCCCCAGCATAGGTTTTATTTGTAGCATAAGATGTACCAGACTTTAAAGCTGCATCCTGCCCATTGGTTTCTGGAGCTTCAGAACCCCACTCTGCAAATTACCATCAGAGGCAGCAGCAGTCACTCCATCCACCACCACACATGCATTCCCCTTTCCAGCATTACAAGCAGTTTTATCATTCACATGCTTTCTTTCACTTGCACTACTGCTCCCAGCAGACCCACTCACACCAGATGCTCCTGTCTTCACCTCCAACTCCCCCAGCATACTCCTCTTAGACAAAAGTCTTCCACTCCTGGTCACTCTCCCCTGGGTTTCAGCAACACATTTCACAGTGAAGCTGACATTTTTCTTCCCACCATTTTCTGCTGTATTTGCAGCTACCAGCAGGGATTGTTCAGTATTGTCAGTTTCCATCTTTACCTTCCCCCCAGCAGAGTTCTCAATCACAGCAGTTTTAGTAGCCGAGTCCACAGTAACAGAATTCTAAGTCTCAGCAGAGTGTAATCCTGCAGGCACAGCAGCCATCTTCCCTGCAGAGCTCTGTGCAGACACAGGAGGTTTTCCTTCCAAAACTCTGCTGTACACACTGCTCTCCATTCTGGAGTCCATACTGTCAATTTTAATAAAGCATGGCTTCTCGATCACTTTTTCCTTTACAGGACCAGGTACAAAGTGTTCACCATCATCCTCATCTGCAGGATCCTCTGAAAACCAGAAGGTTCTTCCACTTAATGGAGACTCCATTTCATTAATAAGCTTTAGCAGCCCTCCGCCATTTTCTTCTATCTCCTGTGCTGTTCCTCCAGCTTATTGGGGAGGGAGTGAGGCAGAGGCTGCCATTTCCACTGATGAAACAGATCCTGAGGTGGATGATATAGCAGGGGCAGCATCCAAGACCCCCTCCTTGGTCTCCACCCGTACTGCCACCACCGATGCTGAAGCTTTTCTATGACTAGTATCGCCCTTTATTTTCCTGAACCTTTCCTTATAGAATGTTTTGAATGCTCCGCTCTTTTCCTTCAGTGCTTTGACCAAACTGCTGCTTCTTGATGGAGTCCCACAAAACTTTCAGCTCTGGCTTCAGACTCTGACGCTTGCTGCTCCATGCTTTATCATACAAAACTTTCTTTTTCTTGTAATCAGATTTTCATCAGCTTTTCCTCCTCTTTTGCAATGCTCACCAAACGGTCAGCAACCCACTCTCTGAAGGCAGGGAGTGATTCCCCTTTTTAAGGCCACAGCCAAGGTCTTCAGGTGTATATGAAGCTTGAGAGTGCAAGCTAGGCCCCCTCAGGGGGAACATTGCCTGGGCCATTCCCAGAATCTTCCATCCTCACTGGGGCCAGACAAGCAGACCTGGCCCCCTAGTGTCTGGAGAGAGAGCAACAGCACAACCAACCTCTCTGGTGCAGACTGATGTAACTGGCTCAGTGATCTCTGTGAGAATAGGTGTAATCCCCTCATAAGAAGCAAACTACACCTTAAGATGGCGGTGAGAGGAAGTGCTAATAGATATTGGGTGTAGCTGCTAAAAACTACACCTTAAGATGGCTGCAGGAGGAAACGGAAGTGACATCGGGCTAAGACAGGAAGGAAAAGTGGGTTTTATAAGTAAGGAGACACATAGTATAAATAAAACCATCTATCACCAGCAGCTTATCCTTTGAGAATGCCCTGGAGGAGGGGCTAAATGCATCAGTTCTGTAATTTGCGACCGGTGAGACGCATATGGATGGTCCACTTCTGGTCCAGCATTTTGCTTGTATATCATATGCAAATGTGAGTGTATATGGTTTGTTCCCCCCTCTGGAGGAGGGGCAAAATTCATCAGTTGACCGTAATTTTTGGCCGGTGAAACGCATGTGGATGGTCCACTTCTGGTCCAGCGTTTTGCTTGTATATCATATGCAAATGTGAGTGTATATGGTTTGTTTTAAAGGAATTCTTAATATATGGATTTACAATATATACATATTTTTTTTTGCCTGCATGCATTATGAGATAAATCATCAGTGGCATGATATATTGGTGTGGGAAATTGAACATAATCATCCAGGAGGACAAGTTCCAGACTAACCAGAATTGTGACACAGCACAAATGACTCTTATTTCAGTTTAAGAGTCCACATCTTCTGGTGAGTGAGGGGGAGCATGATATCTGCACCTTGATTGAAGGAGAAGCACAAAGCACTTTATTAACCAATTGCTAACCGCGCTTTAGCTGAATGATGGCTACAGTGCGGTTATCCAGTTCTGGAATATGTCATCATATGACGTCCTCCCAGAACATGCCCTCCCGCACACCCCCAGTGGCACGCACCCAGAAATCTCCATGATCCCTAGGATTGCTTTTACATGAAAGCCGATCGCCGGCTGAAAAAATCTGTAGGCATCATCCTGGTACCATTCAAAGTCCAGTGATGTACTAGTTAGTACATTGCTGGGCCTTGTTGGGTATATATGCTATGTTCTTTTTTTTGTATGCAGCCTTTAGGTTGAATGAAAAAAAGAGATATCTCTGCCAGAAAAAGTGTGTGGTATGCCCACCATTAGAATATACTGCCCTGCATCTACCCACTTCTAATGGTGGGCACACATTAGGTCGCACAGTGCCACATGCACCAATTCCAAGATTGTACAAATGTCTATATAGTGGCATGCTTGAAAAATTCTTCATGTATAAGTGGTACCCCATATGGAAAAAGGATGACACCAAGTCCCAAACTATCATGCCACTGCTCCCCATGTAGTCTGGGCATTCAGGGGGCA